GAAGAACCTATGAATTCTGAGGAATCTAGTTTTGGCCAAGGTTACAGTGTATTCAACAATAACAGGAGCCCTCAAGAATTTTTATTACTCACATTACCTGACCTGATTGGTCATACATAGTTTTTTCATTACACTGACATTTTTTTTTTCACCTCAAACACAAGGAAAGATGGTTTATTCTGCACTGACTATTTTTTAATCTAGAAAAAATTTCCAAATAAACTTAGTCACTGTAAAATGTTTAAACTACTTGAGAAAAAAGTCAAACTCATCTGTCAGCATGCATTTAACCCAAAGGACATAAATTTTAACAATATAACCTATATAGATATATGGAAGTAATATCAAAATGGGAGGTGATGCATGAATATAAACATATCTTCATATGACTTTTTCCACATTAAAATATATTCCTACACTATCAGGTACAGTATGCCTTTAAATGTTGGCCATATTATGTTGTTCCTATGTTCAAAACCTTACCACTTTTAAATGTTAAGGGCTAGAAACAGTGTACATTGCCATGATATACATGAGCCAAGTGTACATCAGTACATTCATTAAACTGAAGTTCTTCTTATGGGTCTACCAGACCCTAAGGTGCCAGGTTCCCTGTGCCAATCTCACACATTAGCTCTCTCATATCTCATGTCACTCTCCTGACTCTTTTTTGGAGATAGGGTTTCTCTGTAGCCTTGGCTGTCCTGGACTCACTTTGTAGACAAAACTGGCCTCAAACGCACAGAGATCCTCCTGTCTCTAACTCCCTGAGTGCTAGGATTACAGGCATGTGCAGTTAGGTCCAGCAGGAGCCTAACTTCCAGGGAGACAGATGAAGGGAACTCAAGAAACGGAATCGATGCAAACGCAAGAGGTTTATTCAAGCCATCGCATGATGTGGCTGCCCCCAAACCAGCGAGGAACAGCCCCGAGAGACAAAAGTCTGGGGTTTTTAAAGGAAAAAGCACAGGGAAGCTGGGGAGTTACAGTCTCGGCTACACAGGACTGGGTGAAGGTGCTATAGGGTGGTTGGCTTTTAAAAGAATTGGTTGATTTTAGGCACTCAAGTCTGGTCAGTCTCGCCCTTGACATGAGGAACAGGGCTGCAGGCCTTTGGTCAAAGGTCAGGGGATATTCGAGAGAATTGAGGCCATCTGGGTTGGTTGCTAGGCAATGTTATCTCGCAACTGCAGACCTGGTCACATTTTTACTACAGGGTGGGCCCGCAGATCTTGTCTCAATTTGCCCACTTCTCCCTTTTGTCCATGTCCTTCTGCTTTCTGGAAAAGTACTGAGAGAACTTAGTTTAACATGGGGTATAAAATTCATAAAGAAATCTGTAAAGCTAGACTGTTCCTTTCATGCCACTGTGCCTGGCAATACTCTTACTCTTATGGTACAAATTATTAAAATACAGAATACAACCAAATTTACTTTCATTTTCCAGGATTTTTGTTGTTGTTGATTTCTGGAAAGTTTTCATCCTGAACTTCTCATCTAAATACTGACACTGATTCCTAACAATAAATCAGGAGACATTTACTTTCTTGGCAATACGGTATAATAAAGGCTTCTTTTGAATTGGGGGATTATTTAGTTGCTTTGGTTTCTGGTTTTTGCTGTTGTTGTTTTCTTTACCTCAGACGTTAGAGTTCTGAAGTAAGAAGCCATAGAGTATGGTTTCTATAATGAATACAAGATCCTCAAGATGAAGCTCTCACTTTCAGTACCAAGACCAAACAGACACATTTGCTGGCATCAGTGCTGCTACTGTGTAGATGCTGAGTGTTGGACAAAGTCCTTCCAGTCAACCAAACTAATCAGAAACACAAATACTAACAGCCCTTCGCCCTTACAATGATTGTCCCAGGCAAAGCCAGAGAGAAGGTCAGCAGGGCTAGATAATCATTTCCTGGTCTCTCCTGAGCTTAGCACACTGGGTCAAAATGGACTAGAATATGCTTTAAATAAAAGCAACTCATATACAGTTTCACAGATAAATCCACAGGTGGAACCTACTACAACTAACGGCTAAGAATTATAGCATTCCTTTCAAAATTGGCCAATTATGTAGGGTTGATGAAGATTTCTTCCCAATCTGTAGGCTGCCTTTTTGTTCTATTGACAGTGTCCTTTGACTTACAGAAGCTTCTCAGTTATGAGATCCCATTTATTAACTGTTGATCTTAGAGTCTGTGCTGTTGGTGTTCTGTTCAGGAATATGGCTCCAATGCCAATGAGCTCCAGACTTTTCCCTGCTTTGTCTTCTAATAAGTTTAGAGTCTCTGGTTTTATGTCAAAGTCTCTGATCCACTTAGACTTTAGTTTTGTGCAGGATGATAAATACAGGTCTATTTACATTTCTCTACATACAGACATCCAGTTAGACCAGCACCATTTGTTGAAGATGCTGTCTTTTTTCCATTGTATGGTTTTGGCTTCTTTGTCAAAAATAAAGTTCCTGTAGGAGTATGGGTTTATTTCTGGGTCTTCAATTCAGTTCCATTGATCAACCTGTTTTTTTCTATGTCAATACTATGCATCAAACAGAGGGATGATATCTAAAATATACAATATTAAGAAATTAAATACCAACAAATCAAATAATCTAATTTAAAAATTCACAAAAGAAGAATATCAAATGGCTGAGAAGCACTTAAGATATGCTCAATATCCTTAGCCATCAGAGAAACACAAATCAAAACAACTCTAAGATTCCATCTTACACCAGTCAGAATGGCTAATATCAAACACTCAAGTGACAACATGCTGGAGAGGATGTGGAGAAAGGGGAACACTCCTCCATTGCTGGTGGGAATGCAAACTTGCACAACCACTTTGGAAATCAATCTGGTGCTTTCTCAGAAAATTGGAAATAGTTCTACCTCAAGACCCAGCTATACCATTCTTGGGCATATACCCAAAAGAGCTCCACCATACATACAAGGACATTTGCTCAACTATGTTCATAGCAACTTTATTCATAATAGCCAGAAACTGGAAACAACCTAGATATCCCTCAACCAAAGAATGGATACAGAAATTGTGGTACACTTACACAATGGAATACTACTCAGCTATTCAAAACAAAGAAATCATCAAATTTCCAGGCAAATGGATGGACCTAAAAAAAACATCTTAAATGAGGTAACCCAGAAAGACGTACATGACTGAAGCCTAACTTGACTGTCAACTGGGAGACTCCAGCCAGCAGCAGATCGAGATAAATGCTGGGACTTGCAGCCAAGCATGGGACAGAACTCTGAGGGTCCTGTGGAAGTGTTAGGGGAAAGATGGAAGGATTTGGAAGGAATAGGAGTCTCACAAGAAGACCAACAGAGACAACTAACCAGTACCATGGGGACTTTCAGAGTTTGAGACATCAACAAAGGAATACGCACGGTCTGGACCTAGGGCCCCTGCACACATGTAGCCAATTGGCGACCTGGTCGTCATCAGGCACTCCTAGCGAGTGGAGGGGGGAGGGGCTGTTTCTAACATGGACTGTTGTCTGATTTGGATCACTTGGCCCTGGCAGCAATACCTTGTCTGGCCTCGGAGAATAAAGATACACTTAGTCCTGATGTAACTTGATGTGCTAGGAAAGGTGAATATGGGGGGGGGGGGGCGCACTACCCTTTTCTGGGGAAGGAAAGGCCCTCCCCTTTTCCAGGGGAAAAGGGAAAGGGGAGGGAGAAGTGGGGGGGCTGGGAGGAGGGAAGAAAGGGGCACCCTGGGGGTGTAAAGTAAACTATTCTAATAAAAATTGCCCAATTATTTTAAAATTCAAAGAGATTGCTTCAGAAAAGGCTAAGCACTTGCTGGGTCCGGAGCTGGACTCTAAGAAGCTGAAACTCACATCCACAGTGTCTGAGTCTACTCTATGCACTACTTACAAAATCACAGTAAAAGACCTGGAGGACAAGAAAGAAGGTAACAATGCCATAAGCACAGCTGTTTCTGGGCAGGAACCAGCTGGGGAGTCCTCTACATCTCGAAGCGCAGGCAGCACATTCCACCCCGAAGTCTGCCAGGGGCATGTTGATCTGCACTCCTACCCCAACCTTACATAAGCAGAGACCTTGCCTTCTTGGTGTTTGGTATGTTGGGATTCTGTAATATCTCATACTTGGTTTTGTTTTTGTTTTTAAGGTGAAAGGTGCTGCCTGAAAAATTACTGGGGGGGGGGGGGAGTGCCAGTAAAGGCTTTAGAGTCAGGAAGCCCTTAGTTCACATTCTAAATCTGTTGAGAACCATGCCTAGAAAAAAAAAAAAAAGTCGTTCTTCAATACAGGTAGAAATTACTGTTACTTATCAAAATCGAACAACAATACAAAAAAGTATTAAAGGAATGCTCGTCCAAATGCACTTCCTAGAGGCTCAGGACATGGCTCCATGGGCTACACTCACACAAGCATGACGACCTGAGTTCAGATCCCTAGCAGCCACATAAAAGCTGGCATGGTAGCAAATGCCAGTAACTAGGTGCTGCGACAGGGACAAGTAAAGCCCTGAAGTTAGCTGGACAGCAGTCTAACTGAATCAGGGAGCATCAAATACTGTGAGACCCTATCTCAAAAAAATAAAGTTGAAAGTAATACAGGAAGATATCCAATGCTGGCCCCACAGATATAGACACACACACCCACATGAATAGCCACGCATGCACACCTGAACTCATATGTGCATGCGTGCACATACCACAGACAAACATAAAAAAATACATAGCCAAGAACTACAAAATCATGATGTGATGGTACAGGGATTTTTTTTTTTTTTAATAGTTCATCCCTCTGGCCAAATACAAAAACACCTATTAGAAACTCACTTTGTCCTTAAGGCACTAACGGCAGGATACCCAGGAAACAACAGCTTTTCAAAACTCCATAAACTGTCTTCATGAATCACACTGGTTAAGGACCATTAGGCACTACTCTGGCACAGCTCCAAACCACACCTGTAAGGAAAGATGACCATTGCCGGACAGAAAGGAAGCTCACCTGCTTGATTTTATTCCGCGAGGTAGTGATGCGCTCTGTGATGCTCTGGTATGTGCGAATGGCTGTCGTCAGTTCTGTGTAGTGCTGAACAATCAATTCATCCAGGTCCCGGTCGCACTTCTCATAGGCTTCTTCAAGGCGACCTTTCTCATTTTCTCTGTCTTCAACATCATCACTGGTAGACAGAGTCCTGGTGAAGACAGAGTTTATCAAGCTATGTCAAACTTCAAAGTAACAATGAGAAGAACAGAATCTAGTCGATATACTAGCACATTCATCCTACAAACTAGGAAATGAAGAAAATACAACATGACCTTCAATGTTGATTACACCACCACCTAAGAACATGCAGGCTGCGTGGCCACAGAGCCCATCCTTCACCTATTCTCTTGACACCTGAAATAATTTTAATCAGACAGCAGGTGGACATGGATACGAAGGGAAGCTGGGCATCTCTTGATTTGTATGAATCTAACAACTTGTAACAGTTCCATTCTTCTTACAACTCTGGCTAATAAGACTTACAGAACATCTAGAGAAAGGCCCCTTCCCAAGCCCAGGACACTGACATACACAGCTAAGTTACCCAGACCCTTCTGTCATCTGTGGAAGTAAAAGGTCTGGAAAATGCTACTGCAGCCCTATCCATAGGCCACAGAAGGAGCCATCCCTGAAGCTTCCCTCCCCTCAAGATTTCTTGTCAGGGGAGATGATAAATATCATTGTTTAAGTCCTTTCTGGATGGCCTTCTTTCATATGTAGCTGAAGTGTGCTAAGGATAAAATTTCTCACACCAGTGAACCACCTTCCAAAGAGCTCATATGAACTGAACAGAGCCCCCAGCAGTCTTGGAATAAGGTCATGCTAATTCTAAAATCTGTTACAACAGCAGCAACTAGGCTGCACTACAAGACATTGCCTGCATTCACTACTCTTCAAACAGCACCAACAAGATTGATAGGAATCAACAATAACCAGACAATGAGAGAGGCACATTTATTAAAAATCTTTCAATAACTCAGTTTGATACATGGGCCACAGATCTTTGTTTCCTCCATTATCTTTCCTGGATAATTTTTTTTAATTTAGTATTATAATAAAGAAACCTTTTCCTCTTATCTGCTCACTGTGGTAATTTAGAGTTTCATTAAATTCCCTCAGATTTGTCAGCTTATACATTCAGCCTAGTTTATTTCATTTATCTTTTTTAATTTAGGGAGGGGGATATTTTAGGCTCTCAATGATGGATGCAATCAATTATAAGTCCATCATTAGAACTGCTTTCAGAGATGGTCTGTCAGCAAATCAATCACACACCAACCTCCAGATCCTTTCAAACAAAATACTGTACAACAGTCTTCTCCAAACTGTCACTCAGAGCAGGGGGTCTTAATTCATGAGCCACATAATATATAAAACTTCTTTTTCAATTTAGACAGGAATTCAGGAGGCCTGTTTGTGGCTACACTATACCTTCCAAAATGAATTCTGTAAATGTGTTAGAGATGCCAAGAGATCAAGTGTTGCATGAAATGAAACAGTACTGAGAGCTATAAAGGGCAATACCAGGCCAGATCCTATTTCCTCAACTGTTATCCTAAACCCAGTGATTTTCAAGGTTGTTTCCGGGTAGCAAACACACAAGTATTCATCTAGTAAAGTAAATCAACTTGATCTCAAAGGGAGAGCCACCAAAATCACCTTTGATATTTGGTTCAGAGTATCTTAGCATGTCTCTGTTGTTTTATGATATATAACTTTGCTCTTTAAATCTGAAGTCTTCCAGGATGTTACTCTAAAGAACAATCAAGAAATGGCTTCAATTTATCAACTGTCCCACAGGTAAGAGTTTCTGGATATTTAACTCCATCACTTCTGCAGAGCTACACAGCATGAGTCTGCCATATTCACAGTGCCTTCCACATCCCCCTTCACACACACACACACACACACACACACACACACACACACACACACACACTGTCATTTGTGGAAGGAAACATGCCAAACATCTCTCACACTGTTTACTTTAACCAGTCAAAATTACCATTAAGGAAAATGTCAGGCCCAGTGAGGACACCTTCTCTGGCATGGGCTGTCACCATAATGAATTACAGGATCATTAGGATTTACTCAGGAAAAAGAAAGGCTTACAAAAATGAAGATTAGGAGTAACTGAGTACACAAATCTTTTATCCTATTTTCATTTCCAGAGGAAATATTTATAATAACCTAAAAAAAAAAAAAAAAAAATCCTGTGCCAAATTTGACTCACACTCAAAGTTCATCCTCTTCCTGGGATGTTTCCTAGGATGAATGATAAACATGTTTGTCATTAGTCAAACACATATTATAAAACTCTAAAAATAAAAATTTTTTAAGTATTTTTTTTGTTAGTGAAGGGAAAGGTTGTAAAAATAATGAAAATAACAAAGACCTCTAAAATTTAGAAAGGATGCCATAAAGCAGCTCTAGCCTGCATTTTATCAAATGTCCATTCCTGTCCCAGGGAGCCGATTATTATCTTCTAGCCCCTTTTCACACTAGAAGCAGCTGAGCTTTGAAAAACTTAATTTGCCCACCTCACATAATGGGTTTTCAATCCTTCTAGGATCTCTTATTATCAAGTCTATTTATAGATTAGTTTTTGAACAACTGCATAATAATTAAAACCTGTCTCTGAACTCTAACTGCCTAGGTAGGGCTCCTTACTCCACCATATTTATTACCCAGAAGACCTCAGTAACCAAATATTACTTTGTTCATTTATAAAATGGAAAAACAAGATCTTCCTTACAGAATGGTGGTGTTACGATCAAACAAGGCCTCATGTATCATTATCAGTCAACAAATGTTGGCATTACTATTAGCTGTCATTGCTGCAACAAAGAGACTAGTAACAAAGACTCAGTATCCATCACCCAAAATTTTGGGGACCATGAGTATTTTGGATTTCGAATTCTTTCACATTCTAGATTATCTAAAATGTATGAAATGTTAAGTACAGGACTAAATATAAATTTATGTTTCATACACATCATATATATGTATATATATAAATATATGTAGGTTGTGAGCCTAGCCTTTAACGGCTGAGCCATAGGAGGACCTCCCCTATCACTGAACTAGGGTAGGGACATAAGGGGAGAAGAGGGAGGGAAGGCGGGACTGGGAAAAGATGAGGGAGGGGACTACAGCTGGGATACAAAGTGAATAAATTGTAATAAATGATAAATTAATTAAAAATCTACTAAAATATATATGGGGCTGACACTAATTTTATACAATATTTTTAATAATTTTGTACACTAACAAAGTTTCATAGCAGTGTCCATGTGCTGCCCCCTGTGTCAGTGTCCAAAAGGTATGGGAGTTATAAAGCCTACTTCCAAACAGAAGGAGGTATTAGAGTTCACACATGGGCACAATGCTAAACTACCTTCTTTGTTGTTTGGTGGTGGGGTTTTTGTTGCTTTTCTGTTTGTTTGTTTGTTTGTTTGTTTAGACAGAGTTCCTCTGTGCATCCCTGGCTATCATGGACTCACTCTGTAGACCAGGCTGGCCTCAAACTCCCAGAGATCCACCTGTCTCTGCCTCCCAAGTGCTGGGACTAAAGGTGTGTGCCAGCACCACCTGGCCTAAACTACATTTCTGTTGTTGTTGTTTTGTTTTGTTTTGTTTCTGGGTTACAGTTGGGAGGGTTTTTTGGGGTTTTTTTTTTTTTTTTTTTGTCTTTATTTGTTTTGAGGGGGTTGGGTTTTTGTTTTGTTTTGGATTTGTTTTGTTTTCATTTTCTCAGACAGTGGCTTGCTATGCAGCTCAAGCTAGCCTACCAATCTCTGTGCAGTCCAGGCTACCTCTAACATCCTCCTGCCTCTGCCTCCAAAGTGTTGGCTTTACAAACAAGCAGCACCACACTGGACACTACAGTACAGTTTTAGTGAAGAAAAAAAGAAAGATTTATGATCTGGTGGACAGTCAATGTTGATGAGCCAGGCTCATCAACACCGCTGATGTTGATGAGGCTTCACACCGCTACTTGTGAAAAGTTAATACTAAGCCCAGAAATGTAAAGATTCCCCCACTGCCCTCTGTCCAGCACATAGAGAAGGTCAGTAAAGGTGAGGCCCAGAACACAAACAGAAGCAAAGCAGTGGTCACATAGTAGGCCCATCTGTGATAAGCCCACCTGTGATAAGCACTAACATACCCGGTGAACGGGGCAGAATCACACAATACACAAGCTAATGTGCACACTTCACACAAGCACGCAGCTAATGAGATCTGGGCTGGAACTAAAGTGACACTTGACACCAAAGCACAGCCTCTTTCTACCATACACTGAATTGCTATCTTTCCTACCTCAACTCCAAAGCTGAGGACTTCACCCGAACTGTATGACAGCTCACCTGTAAAAGCAGTGGTCAGCTAAAGAGGAAAAAATAAACATGGACCCTACAGTTTTTCTCTTTTATCTCTGCTGTTGCCTTTTTCTTTTTAAGAAACACTATTGGGTCTGACAAAAAAATTAAGAACAATAGCAACAACAAAAGACAGAATCAAAGGACAATGACGTGAAGTTGACACTCCAAGGTGCATTCAAATTACAGAATCACTCTTTAGATTTTGTTCCGCCCCTATTTTGTGTAAATTGTGACTATGATTTACAAATTGCTGCTGAGTTCACACTGGAACACATAAGGGTGAACTGGATTGTGGTGAGCTAGACACAGAGACATTTCTGGATCACTAAGAATTTTTTACTATGACAGCTCTGGTATTTTACATGATAAATTACATCTCTAACAATGTCTAATTAATCCCCAGCAAAGAATGTGTTCATAGGCTAAAGGGGCTACCAAACGCTTCTAGCAAAAACAGGAACAGTAGATGGTTCCAGTGGATTCACAAGTCACCAGCTCCCGGTGACTCCCATAGACAAGCATTAAAATGTGGGATAAAGATCTGCAGACTGAAAATGCAATGTGTCGGGGAAGGGAGGGGTTGTTTTTGTTTTTCAAATTCCAGCTTCAGTCTCTCAGTTGGCCAGTCAAATGTTGTGAAAGGAAAATAAGCACTCATCATCAGCAATTCCTCGGTTATTCACCAAGACTGCCCATCACTCACCGGAGCAAGAACTTTCAGTCAAAGCCAGAGAAAAGGAATGAAAGAAGAAAATGACCAGATCCA